CCGCGGCACGTGGGATCTTCCCGGACTGGGGCACGAACCCGTGTCCCCTGCCTCGGCAGGCGGACTCTCAACCCCTGCGCCACCGGGGAAGCCCGATGAGGGCTGCTTTGACAGGTGTCTCAACAATCTAGTAAATTAAAATGCAGGACTGTTCATTATTAATCACTTCTGCTGTGTAAGAGGCGTGCTGAGCTAGGACAGTGCTCACCTGTCCACCCTTGTCCCCCAGGACGTGGCTCGGGCCCCTCAGAGGCCACCCACCGTGCCGCTGCCCACCACACAGACCCTCGCTCTGGCGGGACCAAAGGTAGGAGGGACCTTGCTCTTCCCTGGGGGGCCTTCTCGGATTTAGACAACTTTTGTGTAAATAAGACGGACTTAGTGTTTTCACGTACACAGTAATGTTTTGTTCTGAGTAGTGTGTAATCCAGAAAGCGTCAGGACCCTGTGTTTTCTATACTTTTTTAAAAAATATATGTTTAATTAATTTATTTATTTTTGGCTGCGTTGGGTCTTCATTGCTGCGTGTGGGCTTTCTCTAGTTGCAGCGAGCAGGGGCTACTCTTCCTTGCAGTGCGCGGGCTTCTCATTGTGGTGGCTTCTCGTTGCAGAGCACGGGCTCTACGTGCACGGGCTTCAGTAGTTGTGGCGCATGGGCTTAGTTGCTCCGCGGCATGTGGGATCTTCCCGGACCAGGGCTTGAACCCGTGTCCCCTGGCAGGTGGACATTAGTGGCAGGTGGACTCTTAACCACTGCGCCACCAAGGAAGCCCCCTGTGTTTTCTTGATGAAACCAATGAGACATGAATGCATTTTAATTGGCTGATTTCAGAGGTTAACCTCCCTGGCCCTCTGTCTTCACTCCCCAGACCACATTACCTAGTCCACTGGTAACCACTCTGCGCTCAGTGTCCATTAAGTCCCTTCTCCACATTGTTCCTATTTGTCTGGCTGCACTTTGAGCCTCAGAGATCCACGTGGTTTATGGGAGGCACTTCTTCCTCAGCGTGAATGGAATTCTGCTCAGTGTGCAGCTTCGTAACTTGTCTTTTTTGTAAATGTATCTTGGAGAGCTGTGCCCTCAGTACGCACGGGTTCAGCTTAGGTCATGGCTTCGAGGTGTGACAAGGCCCTGGTTTCAAGCTTAGCAGGTGTCTGGCCTTACATACTAGATGTTTTTTTTTCTTTAACATAGACATGGTCTTTTTTAAGGCTTCAGTCACAGACAGCCATGCCAGCTAGAGATGGGGGCTTGATTTTATTTGAGACCAGCTAACGGCTTGGCTTTTGGACTATGATTCTTGTGGAGTCAGGGATCTGACTGCTCTCTGGATTTTGTGTTGGTCACTCCCTTGCTTCCTACAAATGGTTCCACATCTTCACGTGCCCCTGAAATGAATCCTTTCATTTGCCGAGTTAAGCTTCACGGACGCTGGCTGGGCTTCTCATTCCATTGTTGGTGGTGTCCTGTGTCTGTTCTCCCGACGAGGAGCATTGGGTCTTTCCAGACTCTTGCTGGGAGGAACAGGCTGCTGTGGGTGGCAGCCCACTCCAAAACATGGCCCAGGCCAGCCCCGGAGCCTCTGGCAGGCAAGGGGCTCGAGTCACCACGGCGCCCCAGCCCGGCCAGCGTCACTGGTGTGGGCAGCGAGGGTCCTCACTGAAGGTTGCACGTGTGGACTCATTTTCTGGCTCAGGCTCCATGCGTGGGGTCACGCTGGGAGCCGTGCACGTCGTGGTGAAAGCGTGTGGCTCAGCTTTTCCAGGGTGCGCTCCAGTTGTTGGAACGCTTGGTTACAAGCAGACATGCTCCCGGTCCCCAGCGCCCGTGTCTCACCACCTTGACCTTCTTCCTGCAGCCGAAAGCGCACCAGTTCAGCATCAAGTCCTTCTCCAGCCCCACGCAGTGCAGCCACTGCACCTCCCTGATGGTGGGGCTGATCCGCCAGGGCTACGCCTGCGAGGGTGAGTGCGGCCTGCGAGCCAAGAGGGGCCAGGCGTGGGAGTCACGGTGAAGGCCGGCAAGGCCAAGGGCAGCCTAGCCGTGAGGGGCCCAGGGCACATGCTCCTTCTCTGGCTTTACAAGTGCTCGGTGAAGGTCTCTGAGTTGAGATCATGCTGCAGTGGACAGCGCGCTGCTCTGGGGTGACCAGGGTGTCTGTTGGTCCTTGTTTGTTACAAAATGTAACATCCACGTCCCGTCCACGTCCGTTCTCCTGCAGGATGAGGAAAAGCAGAGAGTAAAAAGAACTTTACGATCTTCCACTATCAAGTCATTTAGTGTTAAGCACCACTGTCTGGTCTCTTTTCTGCTAGTTTGTCCTTGTTAGCATTTTAGGCCTCTGTGTTGTGCTCTTGCCCTGTGCTGGGGCTGGGCGGGCATGCGTGGCCAGCCGAGGTCCCGCGGTGAGAACTGTGACGAGCCTGGGGCCGGAGCCCCCGAGCACAGGCGCCAGCCCCCCAGCGGGTGTTAGTGAGCGTGTGGAAAAGTTGCTCGATGCCAGCGTACCCTGAGCGTTTGTAGGAACTGCTCTAAAAACTGTTTCCTTCTTGGGGTGCCACGCACGTCTGAGGCAACTGCTGCTTTGGGGGCGCAGGTGTGACAGTGTGTTCTGTGCTTTCACAGTGTGCTCGTTTGCCTGCCACGTGTCTTGCAAGGACAGCGCTCCCCAGGTGTGCCCCATACCCCCTGAGCAGTCCAAGCGGCCTCTTGGTGTGGACGTACAGAGAGGCATAGGAACAGCCTACAAGGGCTACGTAAAGGTAGGACGTTTCCCCCGCTGCCTGCCCAGGCAGGTGACCCAGCCTGGTGACCCACGGCCGTGCCCGGCTACCCTGGAAATCGGTCCCTTTGCTGCATGAAGCGACCCACATGCCGGTCCTGGGAGCCCTCCCCTCCTGGGGTCTTGAGGGACACCCCGCCCCAGAAACACACTCAGCATCAGCTGGGGCCTCTCGTCCCCACCTCCTGGGCTGATGTACTTAAGGTTTCAAAGCCAAGTGCCATTTGAAGGCGCTGTGCCCGGCCCAGCATTCCACGCTGCTCCCCGTCTGCTGTGAACACACCCATTCGTTGAGCTGTCTGCACTGTCCCCTGCGTCACCTTCTGTCATGGGCAGAGCCCCTCCCCAGCACCGCCCGAGTCATCCTGGGCCCAGACCCAGCTCTGCCGCCAGCCTGGACTGGCCGTGCAGCAGCTAGGAGCAGACCACTGCACAGCAGCCGCCTCCAGGAAGTCTCCTGGGCCTGCCACCTCCACTTTCCGTTGCCCGGCCGTGTTGCGGCTGGCACCCCTGGCCCAGAGGAACATGGTTACTTTGATCTGCAGGTCCCCAAGCCGACCGGGGTGAAGAAGGGGTGGCAGCGGGCCTACGCAGTGGTCTGTGACTGCAAGCTCTTTCTGTACGATCTGCCCGAGGGCAAGTCCACCCAGCCTGGCGTCGTGGCCAGCCAAGTCCTAGACCTCAGGTCGGTGTGGTGTAGTCTATCCTCGTTCTAGGAGGTTTACTTGACTTATATGTGTGAGAATGAGAGTTTGTTGCCTGGTAGCCTTTAACCCCATTTCTACCTTCACGTCCTTAGTTATTGGGCAGCTCCAAAAACAGGTGCCTGCTAGAAACTTTCCTGCTGTGAATGTTTTTGCCCTGGAAGATTTGCTAAATAGGCATCTAATACATACCCAAGAACAAGTAGAAAAGATCCCAGAGACACATTGCACAGCCTGAGGTAGTCTGTGCTCTGTCTTCGTGAGCCCTTGTCTTCGTGTGGCCACAGCGTTTGCTGAGTGGCACCGTCTCTTAGGGCTTCCATCTCTAGTCAGATGCCTTCCTGCCATCCACATACAAAAAGGCACAGCACCCTTCCCTCCCCACCTTCTCTGTGGTTAACTCTCTGAAATGGACATAATAGCAACGTTGTGAGGTACTAGGGTTGTTGGGAAGATTAATTAAGCAAGTGAATAGACAGGGTGTGCTTAGCTCAGAGCCTGGCGAGTGGAGCTATTGTTGCTGCTGCCACGTCCTCTCCTCACAAGGTGGAGCGCCCGTCCCTCTGTCACCCACCCCCAGTGCCACACACTATGGCACCTGTCCGGGGCTAGGGCCTGGCCTGGAGCTTCGTTCTCCAGCATCGGTCTTCGGGGGCCCACGGGGCAGGGGTGAGCAGCTGGGCACCTGCGATGTGGGAGCGGCCCCAGGCGACCCTGCTCGCCCCTCGCTGCACACAGGTGGGCCCCTGGCCCAGCAGTGACGAGACCGCTGGCAGGTGTCCCGAGGTGAGACGCTGCCTGTAGCCCAGGGTTTAGAGTGAACTGGAGGTGATTCCATGGTTATCTCAGCACATTTTATTCCCGTTTATAGCCAGGTACAGGCCAAAGCAAAGATGTGGAATGTTTGAACCTGTGCAACAGTCTGGCACAGTATAGAACAGTGTGACTCAGGAAGGTGGTTTTATTCTCAGTCATCCCTAATCATTGAAATGCATGCAAGATTCTTGTCTTTTGTTTGTTGGCTTTGTCATTATAAGCGTTTTCTTATCCTGGTGGAGGCGAGGAGCCTCCCTTGTATTCTAGAAAGTATCCTTTTTCATACAGTTCCTAAAGGGTGGAGGACAGAGTCCTGTGTGCGTGTCTCTTTTCTGATATTCTGAATGTGTTATTTCTTACCAGAGATGAAGAGTTCTCTGTGAGCTCAGTCCTGGCTTCAGACGTCATACACGCTTCACGCCGAGATATTCCGTGTATATTCAGGGTATGTTTTCTTTCCGATATTTTAGAGACGTTTCATTAATGATAAAAAGTCCATAGGGGGACTTCCCCGGCGGTCCAGTGGTCCAGTGGTTAAGACTCCGCAGTTCCCCTGCAGGGGGCACGGGTTCAATCCCTGGTCGGGGAACTAAGATCCCGAATGCCACGTGGGGCGGCCAAAAAAAAAAAAAGAAAAAATCCATGTGGTTAAAGTAAAAGGACTGTTGTGAGCATTTCCTTGTCTTGTAGCAAGGGGCTCGCGCACATCCAGAGCGGACCTCCCGTTTCTCCAGATCCTTCACACCTGTCGATGTGTCCCGTGTCCCCCGTCCCCCTCCCCATACTGGGTAACGGACCCTTCTCTACACACAGCAGAGGCCTGTCTCCCCAGTGTCAGGCCCTCCCGCTCCATCCTCCCTCCTCGGTCTGTGTCCCGGCTGCTCCAGTCCAGTGCACTAGATGCTGCAGGCCGACGCACGGTTGGCTACAGATGAAATGGACCCTTCAGCCTCCCTCCTGAGGACTTGTTGGCCATTAACTGGAGCAAAGCTGGGGAAAAATTAGTAGACATTGTTTATCAGCGGTCTTGCTGGCTGAGCTGGAGTGTCCCCTGCTGAGCTAGTGTTAGATGCTGTGGTGTCAGGAAGCTTCTAGAAGATTGTGGATCCCCCTTCACTGGGAATTTTTATAAGTACAGAGAAATTTGGTTGACCACAAAACCAAGTTTATGGATCACTTTCTGTTAAATCACATCTCTTCAGAAACTGTCTCTGTATACAATACAGAAAATTCCTATCACTGTGTGCCTAAAGGATGATTTGTAGCAACTAAGGTTGTCCCGTGTCCCGGCAAGTGTTTGGGGAGCGCCCACAGGGAAGTCGTTTGTTTGAGATCCTATTGTCCCTCGACGTGTTCTGAGAGTGTGTTTCTCAGTTGTGATCAGAGTATTCAAGAAGGCGGCTTTCGAGTGAACGGTGAACCGCAGTTCTGGCCAGAGCCGAGTCACCTGAGCTCTGGCGAGGCCGGGATGCGGGCGCTGTGTGAGATCCAGGCTGTCGCGGCCCGCGGGCGGCCGGACCAGGACCCCGGCGGCCCGCGGAGGCGAGCTCTCCGGGCAGCAGCCCCCGCCCTCACCCCTGTAGGCCGCGTGGTGTCGGTTTGGTGTGTCTGGTCATCTTACGGTTCTTCTCTGTTTTGTTTTCCGTCGTGAAGGTGACGGCCTCTCTCTTAGGTACACCTTCTAAGACCAGCTCGCTGCTCATTCTGACGGAAAATGAGAACGAAAAGAGGAAGTGGGTGGGGATCCTGGAAGGCCTGCAGGCCATCCTCCACAAGAACCGCCTGAGGAACCTGGTGGTGCACGTCCCGCAGGAGGCCTACGACAGCTCGCTGCCCCTCATCAAGGCCGTCCTCACGGCCGCCATCCTGGGTGCGTTTCTCCGCGTCCCGGCCGCCTGTGGGCTCAGCGGTGTGGCCCATTTGAACTGGTAGTTTCTCCGCCGCTTTGGAAGCAGACGGCCCACGCGCCGGTACTGACCGCTTTACGTTGTTCGCAGACGGGGACAGGATCGCCGTCGGCCTCGAGGAAGGGCTCTACGTCATAGAGGTGACCCGGGACGGTGAGTGAGCCGGACGCTCAGGCCGCCTGCTTAGCGCCACGCGCGCGGGGTCAGTGGTGGCAACGTGTAGGGTTAAGACGGATCCCCTGGGTGAGAGCAGTAAGCCACCGCGTCAGAGAGCTTTATAAAGAAAGGGAAAGGCCAGCGGCCGAGGAGAGGAACGCGCCACAAATAAGACAGATGGTCAGTGACTGTCTGCCCCGTGTCCCCCAGCCCTGAAGGCTGTGGTCAGGGCCCACCCGGCAGGTCCAGTGAAGCGCAGAGACCAGCCTCGAGGGCTGGTGGTGAGCTGACTGCCGTGTATATTAGGCCCTTCAGGGAGAGGACTGAGCAGGGAGTCAGGGCAGGGAGAGCTTCCCGGGAGGAGAAATGCTTCCTTAATTCCTGGGTGCACCGAGGCCTTACCAAAACTCGCCTTCCTTTGCTTCAAATTTTGACCTTTCATTCTTCCCAGAAGAAAAAGCAAAAGTACCCACAAGTCTCCCCGCTTCACCGCCCTGGGCCCAGCTCTGGGCGCCTCCCCCAAGGAATAGGGAGTTGCCCCGAGGTGGTGGTGGTGCCTTCCTGATGGGCCTGAGGTCCCGGCACACTGGCACAGTGGAAGAAGGGTGAACACATGTGGCCTTGGGATGGTGGCTGCTGCCACAGGCTGTTTGTCCCTCGGGGTCCAGACCCCCGGTTCTCGCTCAGAGCCCGAGTGGAGGCCCTGCCCCAGTTAGGGTATCAAGGGTCCTGGGTTGGTCTGGGGGCCCAGTGAGCAGGTGGGAGCCTTCAGCGAGTTTATCCAAGGAGCCAGTGAGGTTTTTTTTTTTTTTTTTTCCAAACGTGGTTCCTGGCTTCAGGGATGAGACGGAAGGCCGTCCAGATCCACCCACGCAGGGCCTCACTGCCCTTGGCACCTCCCAGCCAGGGCCCTGGTGCCAGGCGTGTGTGTGAGATGACGAGGAGGGGGCGCTCCTGGTGGGGCGCGAGCAGAGGCCCTGGCCTCACACTCTGGCCCCCCCATCCTGCAGTGATCGTCCGTGTGGCCGACTACAAGAAAGTGTACCAGATCGAGCTTGCCCCCAAAGAGAGAGTCGCCATCCTCCTCTGCGGCCGGAACCACCACGTCCACCTGTGTCCGTGGTCCTCCTTTGATGGCGTGGAGAGCAGCGTGGACATCAAGCTTCCGGAGACGAAAGGCTGCCAGCTCGTGGCGACCGGGGCGCTGAAGAAGGGCGGCCCCACCTGCCTGTTCGTGGCGGTGAAGCGGCTGGCGCTTTGCTATGAGATCCAGAGAACTAAGCCTTTCCACAGGAAGTTCAGCGAGCTTGTGGCCCCCGGCAATGTACAGTGGATGGCCGTGGTCAAGGACAAGCTCTGTGTTGGCTACCCTTCCGGGTTCTCTCTGTTGAGCACCCAGGGAGATGGGCAGGCTCTAAACCTGGTAAATCCCAATGACCCCTCGCTTACGTTCCTCTCACAACAGTCTTTTGATGCCCTTTGTGCTGTGGAGCTCAAAAGTGAGGAGTACCTGCTTTGCTTCAGCCACATGGGACTGTACGTGGACCCACAAGGCCGGAGGTCACGCACGCAGGAGCTCATGTGGCCTGCGGCGCCCGTTGCCTGTAGTATGTATATGTTTTCTGTTGCCATACCCCCGTTGCCGCTGTCGCATCACCGGTCAGCATGTGTCCTATTTGCTTTGGTTTGTCCTCTAGCTCCCTTAGCTGAGTAGTCGTGAGAGGCGGGCCCCGCGGCTTGCTGCGGGGGGCAGGGTGGTCCCACTGCCACACCCCGGGCCCGTTGGAGTGGGCTTGCCCTCCTATCCCACGGGCACTGCTGGGGCCCCTCAGCCCAGGAGCCCGACGGAGATGGCTGGCCTCCCTGGGGGAAGCCCAGGCCAAGGGAAGACAGGACCTGCGCTGTTTTACGTTTTAAAAGATGTTCTTCGTGATGATGTATAAACTTACACGGTGATGAAAACAAGCTAAAGGTTTCCAGTGACCAGAAAATACTCAGTTCTGATGTCCAGGTCAGAGTTCCTCGGGTCAAATATTGTTCCGAGGGGTAGGAGCTGTTCTGGAGAACAGTTGTTGCTTAATCGGCTCAGTTAAGTGTCCTTCTGCGTGGATGACAGCGCTGGGCACGAGGCCCTGGAGTCCGCACTCCACAGGGGGCACTTCCTGCTGGGCCTGTCGTCTGAGCACTTTTTAAAGACCCTAAACCTCAAATTCTAGCCACTCGATATAGAATATAGCAGGTGGGCTGCATCATGACACCGGAAGGCAGAGGGACGAGGAGTGAGTAGGCAGCCACAGGGCACACATTGATTTCAAGCTGCCGGGGGCTGGGGTCGTGGGGGTGGGACGTGGGAGTTCGGTTTTTCCTTAATTACCTTAAGGTACAGTCTTGTGGCTGCCTCGTTGCTGGCTTCACCAAGCTGGCAGAACAGCCAAGGCGCTGGGACCAGGAGCCCGGCCCGTGAGGGGAGCTGCCGGCCTTCAGCCGGCGGAGGCTCGCTGGACGTGTCCCGGCCTTGTTAGCCCTTGGCCAGGGCCTGGGGTGCGGTGCGGGCAGCCAGAGCCGGCAGGAAGGGCCGAGGCCTGGCCCTGGCGCTTCTCCTGGTCTCTCCCTACCGCACCCGCTCGTCTTCATGGGCGGCCAGTGCAGGAATGGCCTCAAGACCACCCGGTAACGTCTGACAGGATGCAGGTCACTGAGTGCCGTGTTCTGTAATCTTGACCGTGAGTGATCTGGCGGGGACACCCGAGGTTCCTGCGCTCTCCTCTGATTCCAGCTCTCTCTCCACCTTTGTGCTCTCGTTTCACCTCCATGCACAGTACAGATGCCAGGTCGGTTTTAGAGCTGGCAAAAAGTAATTCAGTAACTTTGAGGATGGAGAACTAAAAGTGTTGCCTGCTTGTCCCAGGCCTCATCCGAGCATGCATGTGTTCTGCCCCCTTCTTCTGTAACTCGGGGGGCGGGGCGGGGGGGGGCGCTAATTGGTCCCAGCCTACCGAGGAGGACCCTGAGGGCCACGAGGTGAGGTGACCTGCACAAACCACACAGCAGAGGCTGGCTTCAGACTTGGATCTGTTCCATGTTCTCGTCACTGATTTAACTTTTTAGCTTAAATTTTTCTTTAGACTGGACATCACAGTTTATCACTTTATCAGTAAGTCGTACGCACAGATCTCTCCTGGCTCCCTGCAGATGAAGCCCCACATGCTCACAAGTAAGAAGAGCTGCCCCAGAAGCCCCCATGTGGGGGAAGGTCCTCTGAGTTACTTCAGGGCCCTCTGGTTTCTCTGACCATCTTTTTCGCGTGTGGCACTCAAAAAGAAGGCCTCATGGTTTGTCTGAGATGTCACTTCTGGGACAGTTTGGTGACTGGTTCCAGCATCTTTTGTCTGTTTCCTAAACCCTGTTGTATTTTCTTTTTTGTGTTCAAAAGAACAGGTGTGATCAGAGAGCCCGTATGGAATCTGTAATAGCAGCAGAGCACAAGCTTTTTAGAAACTTATCTTCAGTTAGGCGTAACGTGAGGAAGACTAACCCTGGAGGTAGAAGGACCAGGAACCAGGGCCGAGCCAGAGCCCCCGCCAGCTCTGTGCGCCAGCCCGGGCGAGGCTGTGCGGTGACAGCACGCTGGGACCCCGCCTTGCGCCTCCCCTGGCAGGATGGCGGGATGCAGCCTCCAACGCTGCTCTCTCTCAGATAGTTCAGATATTTTTTACCGCTGTCCTAAATGTGGGAAAGGCCCCTTAAACTTCGGGTGCCACAGGGCCACCAGTCCTCGGTCTCACACGTCTGGTTCGCTGGGAGGGTTTTCCGTCACGGCCTGACGAAGTCCCATCCCTTAGCGGGGAAGGGGAGAGACAGCACCAACTCCCCAGCACATCGCGGGAGAATAATTGTCGTTTCACTGCGTGTGTGTTCAGACCCGATTACAGGAGGGCTGCCTGAAAGCAGCTCGAGAGTAAGCCAGCGCCCTTGCCCAGAGCCCAGCAGTAGTCTCTGGGTGGAGATTTTAAATATTTACCCAGAAATCTGACCTTTTGGCATCTCTGAAAGAAGGGATTTGCCTTAAGAAACAGGACATTGGGCCCCTGCCTGGATTTCAGATGTGTTGAGCCTGAAGTGACAAGCTTCTGCAGTAGTTGTATAAGGAAGCTAAAGGGGAAGCCAGGCGTTTAAACAGGTCACCTTCGGCACCTATGGCGATGGTATTGAAATGCTGTTTAGTTTCAGGAGTGGAGGTAAAGCGTTCAGACGTCCGTTGTGTTTGTCTGAACCTTGAAGTGAAGGTTCCCTCTAGATTGAGGGGCAGGGCCCCTGCGGCCTGGGCCGTTGCACCCCATGCTGGGCGGGCAGCCCCTGGCACTGGGGGGGCGGGGCCCGGGCTCACCGCTCTGCTCCGTGTGCGCCAGGTTGCAGCCCCGCACACGTCACGGTCTACAGCGAGTACGGCGTGGATGTCTTTGACGTACGCACCATGGAGTGGGTCCAGACTGTCGGCCTGCGCAGGGTAAGGCCCGGCGGTGCCCGGCCCCTCCCCCGGCCGGCCCTCCCCCTCCCCCAACCTCCAGCAGCCAGCCTCCCTCTCTGGTTTCCAACGCAGATCCGGCCACTGAACTTGGAGGGCAGCCTCAACCTCCTCAACTGCGAGCCTCCCCGCCTGATCTACTTCAAGAGCAAGTTCTCGGGTGAGCCCTTCTCGGGGGAGCAGAGGACGGGGGCTGGAGGGGGCCTGCCTGGGAGTCGGTGGCCCCGTGGCCCTCCCCCCGGCCCCACGGAGCCACAGCGGCCTTTCCTTGTCCTGCAGGAGCGGCTCTCAACGTGCCCGACACCTCTGACAACAGCAGGAAGCAGATGCTGCGGACCAGAAGCAAAAGGCGGTTTGTCTTCAAGGTGCCGGAGGAGGAGAGGCTGCAGCAGCGGCGGTAGGAGCCCGGCTGGGGGCTGTGCTGGGCCCAGAGGACCCTGACGCCTTCCTGAACCTCACGGTGTTTCCTTTCCCCAGAGAGATGCTCAGAGACCCGGAGCTGAGATCCAAGATGATCTCCAACCCCACCAACTTCAACCACGTGGCCCACATGGGCCCAGGCGACGGGATGCAGGTGCTCATGGACCTGCCTCTGGTGAGCCCGCGGGTGCTGTCCCCTGCCTTCCCCACACCCCGGCTCCCCTGTGGCTCCTGCCTGTGTGCTCCTGAGGTGTCTGTCACCATCTCAGTCTGTTAGGGGTTTGTGAGAAATAGCTGTCAACGGTGCTAAAACATCTGAGTATAGGGGCACGTAGCATACTTTGTAGGGTTTTTTTTTTTTCCTTAAAAGTGTTTTCTGTAGAATTTGACTTGGCCTAAAGTCACTATTGCCAATTCTTAGCTCAAAACTGACCTGATGCCACTGTTCAGAGGTCCTTCCCAGCCCATTTTGCCTGTCGAGGCCCAGGGCCCCGGCCTGCTCGTGCTGCAGACTTTGCACTTGGCCTGCGCGCTCTGCCCGGGGCCCGGCTGTGCTCCCCCAGGGCGTGCTCACGTGCTGACGTGCTGTTCTCTCTGCCCAGAGCGCCATGCCCCCCTCCCAGGAGGAGAGGCCCGGCCCTGCTCCCGCCAGCCTGTCCCGCCAGCCTCCGCCCAGGAACAAGCCCTACATCTCGTGGCCCTCATCAGGTACCAGGGGCGCCCGGGGCGGGGCCTGGATGCTGGGACTCCAGGCTTTCAGTTCGTCTCTGAACTGTTTTCTCCAAGGTGATCAATGGCTGCCCGTGTTCCGTAGGTGGATCTGAGCCCGGCATGGCTATGCCTCTAAGAAGTATGTCTGATCCCGACCAGGACTTTGACAAAGAGGTAAGACTTGCCCAATTACAAGGGACAAGGCCTGGGGTCTGCAGCTCCACACGTGCAGGAGACTTGAAGCAGCTGTTCTTTGGAGAAAGAGACTCCATCTCCCCCTGGAGCGGCCACGTAGGGCCTCAGTGGTCATCAGCCCCCCGGAGCTCCCCACTCATAACTGCTCAGGCTGAGCCAAGGCCGGGAGGAGGGAGGACATGGACCCTGTGGCTGTGAGTGTGTTGGGAGAAAGATGTGGATTCTCGCCTCCAGGTCATGGCCTCAGGGAGACCGAGGCCTCTGCGGCCTGGTGCCGGGCCTCCTTCCAGGCCCTGCTCCCGAGTCACCTGGTCCCTTGCCCCCAGCCATGGGTGCCCGAGACTGGGCCAGCCCCGGGAGGATGCCGCCGAGAGCTCAGGAGGCATCAGGAGGGGGGCCAAGGGAGCTGCTGGGGCCCGGCTCTCCTCTTGGGCACTGACTGCGGGTGGGCGTCACCGTGCACAACTGAGAGATGAAAGCCCTCCTGTGAAAAGTGCAGGAAAGCTTCTCCCGTCTAGACTCTTCCGTGTACTTTTATGCACGTGGCTGTGACACGTCAGTAGGCACATTCCTTTTAAAGCACAGGTGGCCTCATGTGTCTTGCTCTCTCCTCCTCTGACTGCCCCTGGGATCGGAGTGTGGGGGCCCAGATGGGGGCATCCCTGGCTCAGGTGTTCTTGGGCTTTCAGACCCAGCTCCTGGTGGCAGTGTCCTTGGTTCCTTGTGTGTGTGGTGGGGGAGGACGATGGGAAGAATGGAAGCCTGAGGGTTGTGCCCCAGCAGCACTTTTGTGGGAAGGAGGACAGGGGCTGGGTGCGCTGGCTGTTCTCACAGCCCTGTGGCACCGACAGCACGCACTCACGGGGGCTGCTGAGCCGACAGCGGAAACCAGAAGGGCTTCGCTTCACACGGTCCTCACCTTCCTGGCGTGGCCAGCTTTTCAGGTGTGGATCGGCTGCTTCTTCCTCTGGGTCCACCTTTGCGCCCTTTACCCGTCTTCTCTTGAGTCACCATGCTTTCCTCTTACTCGTTTATAGAAACTCTTCGTAGGTTGTGGGTGTTAATCTGTTGCAGGTACTTTTCCCCTTACCGCTGATTTTTTAATTTTGTCTTTAATTGTAAGGGCATTGTCATACAGAAATTTTTAATTCTCGTACAGTCTAGTCTTTATCTTTTTAATTAAGATAAACATTCTCTTGTCGTCTGAGAGCTTGGTAGGGTTTTCTGTTTGTCATTACGTCGTGAAAGTGTCTGTGAGGGGGTGTGAGCGTGTAAGTGTGTCTTAGCGTGTGTGTGTGTGCGCAAGGACCTGAGCTGCTGCTTTCTAAGGTACATGACACGCTGGCCCTGCACCACTTCCTTCCTTCCAACTTGAAGTGTTACCCTTTATTGTTTGTTAAATTCCTTTGTTTACGTGTCTCTATCCCTGGAGCCTCTGCTGCACCACCTGTAACCTGAGAGCCGGTAGAGCACATCTCTTCATTCCCACTTTTCAAAACACTTTCTTAGCTTCTCCTTCAAATAAATTTTAAAATATTTTTAGGGGCTTCCCTGGTGGCACAGTGGTTAAGAATCCGCCTGTCAATGCAAGGGACACGGGTTTGAGCCCTGGTCCGGGAAGATCACACATGCCGTGGAGCAACTAAGCCTGTGCACCGCAACTACTGAGCTTGTGCTCTAGAGCCTGCGAACCACAACTACTGAGCCCACACGCCTAGAGCCCCTGCTCCGCAACAGAGAAGCCACCGCAATGAGAAGCCTACACGCTGCAACTAGAGAAAGCCCACAGGCAGCAACGGCGACCCAACGCAGCCAAAAATAAATTAAAATTTTTTTTAGATTATGGAGCTTGTTGACTCCATCATAATCTAAAAAAAGTGAAAATTGTGTTGAGCTTTTCGCTGGGATTGTGTTGGATTTGTAGATTAATTTGGGGGCTGCTCACCATCCTGACCTTCCCTGTGTAGGAGCACTGCACGTCTCTCCCCTTGATGGGCTCCCTCTTGCAGGTTGCGCGTGTTGGTGGCTAATGAGTTAATTCTTAAGCATTCCAAGGTTCTTGTTGCCATTGTGCATAAAGTATAATCGTCTTAACGTGGGACAGTGAGAGATTCAGTTGGTGAACATTTTGATGCCAGTTTTTCCGTCTGTGTTTATCAGTGAAGTTATCTGTGCCTTCTTTTCTGAGCTGCTCTTTTTCAGCTGTCTTCAGGGCTGCACTAGCCTCAACTGTGGCTTAGGAAGAAATCCAGATCTCTCAGTTGCCATCATACAGGGGTTTTCTTTTCCTGGAAGGTTTTATAGGCCTCCCTTAAAAGAGCCTGAGTTGATGGCTAGAGAGGTAGGTCTTCTGGGGGTTTTTTTCTTATTTTTTCCCCTGCAACTATCTGTTTTGAAAATTTTCAGACTTCCAGGAAAGTTGCAAGAATAGTAGAGTGAATAACCCACATAAGCTGTACCTAACCCATTTTCCCCATTTGGGTTTTTGGGGAGGAACCAGCAGAAAGTGAGTTGCAGTATCACCCACCCCTAAGTACTTATCCCGCACCTCCCTCGGGAGGGCATCTCCCCGCTGCCCGGTGACGTCCTATTCCTAAACCTAGAATCCAGCCAGGGCCACGTGCTGTGTTTAGTAGGCACGTCTCTTTAGTCTTCAGTCCACTGTGCAGTTTGTTTACAAAAAGTGCAGTTTTTTTGCAAAACGTTCCTCAGTCAAGGCTTGTCTGGGTTTTATTATTATTATTATTATTATTATTATTATTATTATTATTATTATTATTTTTTTTTTTTTTTGCGGTATGCGGGCCTCTCACTGTTGTGACCTCTCCCGTTGCGGAGCACAGGCTCCGGACGTACAGGCTCAGCGGCCATGGCTCACGGGGCCCAGCCGCTCCACGGCATGTGGGATCCTCCCGGACCGCGGCACGAACCCGCGTCCCCTGCATCGGCAGGCGGACTCTCAACCACTGTGCCACCAGGGGAGCCCTTGTCTGGTTTTCTGAATTGGGTAAACAGTGAAAAGGCCCCGACCTGTCTCCCAGCCGCCCGGTTCTCCCCAGGGACCAACAAACAAGTGTGTATGAGTGTGCGTGCACACATGCACACACTTTTTTCCTGACTGCACACATCGTACCCTTTATCTGAGAGCAAGGCTGATCCCTTACATGGCCACAGTACAGCTGCCACACTGATGAAGCCACCTGCGTGTCCCCATAATGTCCTTAAGCACCTTGGCTGGCGCAGGACCCAGTCCCCAAGCACGCGTGGCATTTAGCTGCCTCGTCTCTTTGGCCCCTTTACTCTGGAACAGGCCCTCAGCCTGTCTGGCAGAGAACACATCTTTTATTTTCTAGAACACTCCTCAGTTTGCGTGTCTGACATTTCCTTGTCTTTTGAGATTTGGGTTGTGTGTCCCAGGATGGAGTACGGCACACAGGACGTGGTGTCCTTCTTGGGGTGTTGCATCCTGAGGTACATGGCATCTGTTTGTCCTGTACTGACCTGTTTGTTCCTCTTTCTAAGTTTATTTAAGTGAAATTCACATAACAAAGTAACCATTTAAAAGTCAACATTTCGGATTTCCCTGGTGGTTCAGTGGTTAAGGATCCGCGTGCCAATGCAGGGGACACGGGTTTAATCCCTTCCAGGAAGATCCCACATTCCGTGGGGCAACTAAGCCCGTGAGCCACAACTACTGAGCCTGCGCTCTGGAGCCCTGAGTCCTAGAGCCCGTGCTCTACTGGGTTCACGTGCCACAACTGCTGGAGCCCGTGCTCTGCAGCAAGAGAAGCCACCGCAGTGAGTAGCCCCTGCACCACAACGAAGAACAGCCCCCGCTCGCTGCAACTAGAGAAAGCCCGCGCACAGCAACGAAGACCCAACGCAGCCAAAAATTAAAGAAGTCAACAATTCAGTGGCTGTTTAGTACATTCACAGTGTTGTACAACCACCAGCTCTGTCTACTCAGAACACTTCCATCACCCTACCCACTGAGCAGTTTCTCTTCAGTTCCTGCCTCCCCCCAGCCACTGGCTGCCACCAGTCTTAACAATCTATGGATTTGCCTGTTCTGGGCATTTCATGTAAGTGGAATGAATCAGACAGTACATGGCCTTTTGTGTCTGGCTTCTTCCACTCAGCATCATGTTTTCAAGGTTCATCCATGTTGTAGCATGTATCAGTAAGTTCTTTCTTTTTATTGCCAAATAGTCCAGTGGATAGATGGACCACATCTTATGTACTCATTGGTTGTTAGGAATAGTGCACTAGGAACAGCTGCATACATGTATTTGTTTGAGTACATGTTTTCACTTCTTTGGGGTATGTACCTAGGAGTGGGATTGCTGGGTCATATGGTGGCTGTACTTTTAACTTTTTGAGGAACCACAGCAGCTGTACCATTTTACATTCCACCAGCAATGTACAAGGGTTGAGTCCACATCTTTGCCAACACTTTTTTTTCTTACAAGAAAATTTTTTTTCAATAGCCATCCTAGCAGGTGTGAAGTTGTATCTCATTGTGGTTTTGGTTTGCATTTCCCTAATGATTAGTGGTGTTGAGCATCTTTTTCATGGGCTTATTGGCCATTTGTATACCTTCTTTGGAGAAATGTCTCTTCAAGTCTTTTGCCCATTTTAAAATTGGATTATTTGTCTTTTTGTTGTTGGGTTGTAAGAGATTTTTATATGATATGGATACGGAATTCCCTGGGGGTCCAGTGGTTGGGACTTGGCATTTTCACTGCTGTGGCCCGGGTTCCATCCCTGGTTTGGAAACTAAGATCCCATAAGTTGTGTGGTGTGGCACAGCCAAAAAAAGGATACCAGACCCTTATCAGATATGTGATTCGCAAATATTTTTTTCACGTTCTTTCGGATTGTCTTTTCACAGTTCTCAATGTCTTTCAGTGTACAAAAGTTTCTAATTTTGGTGAAGTCCAGTTTTTCTATTTTTTTCTTTTGTTGCTCGTGCTTTTGATGTTATATCTAAGAATCCATTGCCAAATTCAAGGTTATGAATATTTAGTCCTGTTTTCTTCTTAAGAGTTTTATGGTTTTAGCTTTTGTTTAGGTCTTTTTTACATTTTGAGCTAGTTTTTGTGTGTGGTGTGAGGTAGGGGTCTAGTTTAATTCTTTTGCAGGTGAATATCCAGCACCATTTGTTCCTTCCCCCATTGAATGGTCTTGGCACCCTTGTTAAAAATCCGTTGACCACACAGGTTTATAGATACATTTCTGGACTCTCAGTTCTATTGCATTGGTCTTTATATTAATACTACCACGCTATATTTGATTACTGTTGCTTTGTAGTACATTTTGAAGTTGTAAGTTTGGGAAGTGTGAGTCCTCCCACTTTTTCTTAGTAGTATTTTCACTATTCTGAGTGCTTTGCAATTCTATATGAATTTGAGGATTGGCTTTTCCATTTCTGCCCCTCCCCAAAAAAATCCGTTGGAATTTCAGTAAAGATTGCATTGAATCTGTAGGTTGATCATGTTGGGGAATATTGCCATCTTTACAGTAGTCTTCCAATCCATGAACATAGGATGCCTTTCCAGTTATTTAGGTGGTCTTTTATTTCTTTCAGCAATGTGTTATAGTCTCGGTATGCAGATCTTTCACCTTCTTGGTTAAATTTATTCCTAGCTGTATTTTATCCTTTTGGATGCTATTGTAAATGGAATTGTTTTCTTAGTTTCCTTTTCACATTGTTCATTGCTGATGTATAGAAACACAACTGATTTTTGTGTGTTGATCTTGTACCCTGCAACGTCACTGAATTTGTTCTTTGTGGAGTTCTTTAGGATTTTCTATCTATACAGAGTCATGTCAGCTGTGAAGAGAGATGCTTTTACTTCTTCCTTTCCAACTTGGGTGCCATTTTTTCTTGCCCTGGCTGGAACTTGGAGCACAGTGTCGAATAGCAGCGGTGAAAGCAGCACCCTGGTCTTGTTCCTGCGCTGAGCGGGGAGCTTTGCCTTTCACCACCGGGTGTGACGTTAACTGTGGGCTGCTCATGGACACCCTTTGTCATGTTGAGAAAGGTCCTCTCTGTTCCTCATGCTTTTATCATGAAAGAGCTTCACATCTGTTACCTCTGACTGCTTGGTTTCCATGCTGTCTGGTTTCTTCACTGTGGAGTTACTCCTTTTTGGAATAGTTACTGAGTCATTTGTGGGGTTGGGCCTTGGTTGATGATCTCTCACCAGCAAGGACCACGTGACAAGCTTGCAGAGAGTGTGCTCTCATGACAAGAATGGAGCCAGCAGGGGCTACACCTGCCCAGGCAGCATCGCCTCCACAGGCCCAGGGCCATGGTTCTCACGCTGTCCCTCTTTGTCTTCACAGCCTGATTCGGATTCCACCAAACACTCGACTCCATCGAACAGCTCCAACCCCAGCGGCCCACCAAGCCCCAACTCCCCCCACAGGAGCCAGCTCCCCCTTGAAGGCCTGGAGCAGCCGTCCTGCGATGCCTGAAGCTGCCGGTCACTGCAGCGGGGCTGGGGGCCCAGGTGGCCTCCTGTCAGTGCCAAGACTGAGCTGACCCTCCAGTGTTGTCCAAGGAAATGTAGAATCGATTTGTAGATACGGAGATGAAGAAAATACTTTATTATAATAATGATTGGCTTTATGCCGCACCGAGGCGGTAGGCCAGATCTGCTCATCTGCACAGCTGTTCCGTTTGCACACGAAGGACCGCCTGCGGCCCCTCCTGCCCAGAACCAGCTGAGGCAGCGCGGGGGGCCCATGACGCCAGCCTCCGGCAGACCCCAGTGGCACCGGGGGGCTCTGCAGGAAGCAGGCAGCTTGGGACGGCCTCGGTGCTGCGTCTGTTCCCTGTTCCCTGAAACTGTTTCCTAGGACCTTAGGAGAATAGTAGGAAGTTGTATATCATTCCCAGTGTCCCTAGAGTTTTGAAGACAGAGGAAAGTGGAGCTTAGTTTGTGGCCTTTTTATTCATTTAGCCATTACATAGTCAGATGCAGAAGTCCTTCTGCTGACCTTGTAGCCATGGACAGAGGCCCATTCAAGTGAAGCCTGCCCTGTCCTGGTCCCTCATGTGTGTCAGTCCGTTTCCGGTCACAACCACGAAGTGTCACCCGTATCTACTACTGTGAAGTCAGCTGTGCTCCGTTTCCCGCTCGCTTCCACAGCTCTGCCTCCTGCTGTAAAACCAGTGAGTGTCGTGCAGCCGGGCCCCGAGGCCTGTGGGCCGAGAGGAGGCCAGAGCCCCGGGTAGCCCCGCGGCAGGTGCCAGGACCCCCGCCCCGCATGGAGCCCCGTGATTAGTGCCCTTCCGGATCGTGTAGACTCACCGCCACACTCCACCCGGTGGGCCGGCCCGCAGCGCCTGTGTGTATCTGCCTGCCTTCCCCGCGGCATTTGTGAGTGTCAGGCAGCCTCCTGTCTCTGTAAAGGCTTGCGATTAACTCGCCCCGCTGGGCTTCTCCTTGTTCTCCCGCCGGTCGACGTTCTCGGTGGCAACGCTGTTGAAGATGTGCACTTAACCTTGAGTCGGCACTGAGTGACCTGGGCACCGTGGCCTGCCTGTGCGTGTCACACGCCCAGCACCCGCCTGCCCGCCCCCTGGGCCTTCTGCTGGGGCTGGCACCTGCTGGGGGTTCTGGTTTTTACTTTTTTAATGTAAGTCTGAGTCTTTGTAATTATTGAATTGTGAGAACATTTTTGAACAATTTACCTGTCAATAAAGCAGAAGACGGCAGTTTTAAAGTTCTCAGTGGTTTGTCTGAATGTGACCACCTGTCACCCGGTGTCTGGGCCCTACCCGCCCCCCCCCC